TACCACCTGCGGTGACCTCACTGCCAGCTGCATTATGATATCATTGGTCTAGGATTCTGGGCTCCTGCTTGAGCAACTCCAAGTCTTCAGCTGGGGGCACTCCCCTGGGGTCTGTGACAGCTGACCCCTTCATCCTAGAGAGATGACAGGCATGGTAACAACCCAAGGTGGGGGCAAGGGTGGGGACAGCTTTCCGAGTAGCTTGCTCACCCTGCCAATTCCCCTGGTGGAACAAAGGTCATAGAGCAGAGTGACTAAAGCTTGGACGTTGAGTTCAAGTCCTGTCCCTTCTAGTCACTAGCTGTTTTACCTTGGGCTTTCTGAGCCTCAGTTTTCTCATCCCTAACATGAGTTAATAGTTCCTATCTCACTGGATTCTGAGAAGAAATCTTTGAGATAAGATGAGTAAGTACCAGGACTCTCATATAGTAGTTGCTCAATAAGTCCTAGCTGATAAAGTGGCCAGTTAAGGGAACTTGAGTATCACCCTTGATGTGGGGCTCCCTTGAGGGCAAGGAGTCTACATCACCTGGGGTTGGCCATGGCTTGAAAGTAGAGGCCTGAGCATTTACATTTCTTTATGGATGGTGGCCCCAGCTTTGACAGTCCTCCCCAGCTTAAGCCCTGAGGTCAAGAACCTTGAAGGTCTGTTAGATTGAGATAGTCTTGAGGAGAGGGTCCCAGATCTTGTGACAGGGGACTGTCAAGGTTGACTCTTTGTTAGAGCCCGGGTCTCTGAGCCTCTGCCAGCTCCATTGCGCCAGTCTCTGCCACCCATGCATGATGTAGTCCTCTGCCTTGTCTTGACTTTTTGCCCCTTCCTCTCTGGTTCCCGTTTTCCCTAACCTACACCTGAGTTTTATCTCCCTGTTCTCTATCTTCACCACCTGTCACTTTTCTCCTGCCTCCATGTCCCCCTTTGCCCCTCAGCTCTTCATGACAGGGTCCCCTTCTCCCCCTCTCTGCCCCCTGGGCTCTGTCCCCGCCCGTCAGCCCCTGGTCCCAGCTCCCGGCCTGCCCGGCTCCTGCATGGACAAAGGGGTCCTTTGTGGGCTGACCGCGGCTGGCGGGGCGGCGGGGCGCTGGCTCCGCATTGCTGATGAAACGGAGCCCTTTGTTGTCCCTCCTCAGGCGCAGTATTTCTTTTTGGGGGCTGGATGCGTTCCTGGCAGGGCCGATGATGGATGCGCCCGCCGCCGCCCGCCTGCCCGCCAGCTTTCCCTCCCGCTCCGCTTCAACGCAGCTCCGGCTCCTCCCCTGCTGCCTGGGCACTGCCAGGCCCTGCCTGGCCTGGGAGGGAGTTGCTGTGTGCCTGGGACACAGATTGGAGCCTGGGAAGGTGTCCTCTCTGTGTTTCTCCCCATTCCATTAATAAAGCAAACAGTCCTTATGGTCAGCTTTTCCCAGGATCTGAAGATGAGCCAGGTACAAATTTGGGACAAGCTTGGGTAGCAGGCCTTGGGGACTAGATGTTGATATCTACCCACTCCACAGTTTAAGGACAGAGTTCTCCCTAAGTGCCAGTCCTCTTTACACATTTCTTCACCTTCAGTTTCGTGGCTGACAAACCACAGTGTTCTGCCTGCAGCACCTGTTCAGTGACATATCACGTCCTCTAGTCCCAAGCTCAGCATGTCCCAGGGCCCAGGGAGCTGGAGGAGGGTGGTCCCTGAGGAAAGCCAGGAAAGTAGAGGATCAGAGAGATTGAAAGGGAGAGTCCAAGATGAACAGAACATAAGGTTCAGGTCCCACCAAGAGACTCAGGATGGAGACAAAAGCAGAGAGACAGCCAGAACGCCAGTGTTGAACGCAGGCCTGGCTGGCCGTGTTGGAGGGAGCTGACTTCTAATTGACCTGCCCGCCCTGCACACGGAGCCAGATCCTGGAACTGGGAGGGGGAAAGGAGGGAGCAGAGCGAGAGCAGCGTTAATGCAGCTATCGATTTCTGCCACCAGCCAGCAGGCTGCAGAGGCGGGGGACGCACACAGGGGCTAGGATGCAGGGTGCTCCCCTCCCCATCTCCTCAACCTGAGGCCTTCTATCTTTTCCCCTCACCCTATATCTGGAGCTGTAGGGGTTGTGGTCCAGGGAAGGATGGCTGAGTGATCTCTGACCTAAAACCAGCACCACTGAGTCTGAGGAGTCACCAGCCTCTGAGAAGAGGTACCCTGACAGCAGCTGGGCATATGTGAACCCTCCCCATTTTGTTTGGTTTTAGTTTGTTTGGTGTTTTGTTTTTCTTTTCAGTATAGCTCTAATTCGAAATACAAGAGCCATCTGGGCATACCCTGGTGAAATCTGGTTCTCTCAGCTCTTCCTCACCACCCATGTACCATTGCTGGCAGACGTTAGGTGGGACACTGCTCTGGTGGACAGGCCAGTGTCTCCCTCTCTACTGACTTCTGTCATTTTCACCCTGGAGATGGGAACTATCCCACACTCCCTCTGTATGGCCACTCTTCAGCAATGCTAGATGGACTATCCTGCCTGCTTAGTGCCTCAGTTGCCCTTTTTGTCAATTAAGAGTCACACTAGATGATCTGAGGCAGGCTATGTCCTGTGACTGGGGGATGGTTGGGTTGTCTGGGGACAAAGCTGCTGTGTGTACTGTAATTAAGCTCAGGGTGGGGCAAGCCCAGCCAGATGTGTGCCTCCCCCTTGGGCCCCATCTGCTCAGGGGCTGGGCCCTGTTCCTCCCACCCCTCTGCTGGATGCTGGACTGTAGCAAGCAGACAGAGAAAGGATGCTGCAGAGCCAGGACTGATGAGCAAACATCCATCCCACTCCATCTGGGCCAGTTCCTTCCCGAAGGCCTGGCCAAGGAAGCTGGCTGTTCAAATGCCTTAGCCTAGGGGCCTGGACCTTGCAGGCCCTGTCCTGGGAAGGGGCACCCCAGAAATATGGGATGGCCAAGGGTAAGATCCTGCCTAAATTCATTCTTTGCAGCTATACTCATTCTCTCTGTCCTGGACGAAGTTCCTTCTTGCCCACATCCCACCCAACTCTCTGGGTATTCATTGAGACCTCCACGTAGACCCCACTCTGTATGCTTTAGAAAGCATGAGTTAACAAGCATCAGCCCAGTGTTGACAGTGATTTGGAGCTGAGGAGGAAGTGTGCCGGGCATGTGCGCAAGCATGTCCTCCTACTATTGCACATCCTTCTGGCCCAGTACTGCCTGCCTGTGGTGGGAGGATAGATGCTCTTTGAAATAAGGATTCTTTGCTCTACTTGGCAACTGTGTTAAATGAAGCCAAACAGACAACTTTATTTGCAGAACTTATCAGAGCCTTGAAATAACAAATAATGGTTTTCCCCATTATCCAAAATTGGAACATCTTTATAAAACCTTTTGTAAGCCAAAATGAGGAAATAGCATAAAATGAAAAAGTAATGATTATCGATTTGTTGTTGTGTACCGTTGAGTCAGAACCGACTCATAACCCTTGGTGGGTTTTCAGTGGCAGTTAATTGCACTGGAGGAAATTGTCCATCCTTGTGGAGCAGCTGGTGGACTTGAATTGTGTGCCTTCAGGATTGCAGCACAACTTCTTTCCACTAGGCCACCAGAGTTCCCTCATCACTGATTTATATGGGAAAATTTTTTCACTCTTTCCAGATCCTGAAAACGATCTACCAAATCATACCAAATAGCACACAAACTAAAACCCCACTAACACAGTGTTCACACAGACACAGGTGGCTTATTGCTGAGGTTCTCAGTCTAGTTCCAGGTGACTCCACACTCACAATTGGGGCGCACACTACCCCATGTAACAGCTCATTGCAAAACAAATGCTAAATGTTAGTTTCAGGTTTTGCTCATCTTTCCCTTAGTAGCAAAAACCCGGTACTATTATAGGTCTTTCATAAAAGTGAGTTGTGGTATAAAGCAAATTTTCAGAAAAGTGGTAGATACCTGTCTTGATTAGCTCACTGTCATCAAGTGGATTCCAGTTTGTGGTGATCTTGGGTCAAGTCTCCAAGACTGTAAATCTGCTCATCTTTCTTCCTTGGAGCAGCTGGTGGACTCAAACTACCAGCCTTTGGGTTAACAGAACAGATAATGCATGATGCCACATGGGTTCTTCAAAGGAGAATCCATGAGAGCTTCCAGATTTTTTAAAATCTACACCTTAAAGCCCTTCAGAAGGCCATTCCAGCCCATTCTCTCTTGGTCTGCAGAACATTAACAATTAGCCCCAACTCTGTCCTCGCCCCTTTATCGTAAAGATGGCCTATCTCTACCAGGTCTTCCTACACCCAAAGCCATTTCCAGCTCTGGCAACCCTATAGGACAGAGAACTGCCCCATAGAGTTGTCAAGGCTTTGTGACCTTTTTTGGGAGCAGACTGGCATATCTGCCTCCTGTGGAGCAGTTAAACTGCTGACATTTCAATTAACAACTGAACACTTAACCGCCGTGCCATCAGAGTGCCTTTCATGTACTACCTGCTAGAGAGATTTGGGATGGATGTGCCAGGGCTGAACCACCTTCATCGTACTGTTTGGTATATATCCGTTGACCTAACAATTCTGAACTTTTTCTCATCTGTAAAATTGTAAAATTGCAATCCAACTCATGTCCACCTTAGAGGTGTCAGAATAGAACTGTCCCCATTATATGGTATTTACGGGAGGAGATGAGTATGTCTTTTCTCCTTTTGGTGATAGGTGAGCTCTTAATCATTGCACCACCTGATTCTTGTGAGTCTTAAGTGAGACGAGTATAAATTTAAACTTGCTCACTGGGGCTAGCCTGTCACTTAAATGCCTAATCCGTTATGGCTATTGCAAAGGCAGTGCCATGGAGTGGGGCAGGGGGCGTGGTGGTGAGTGTGAAGTTCGCTGTCTACAGCCCTATCAACCTAAACTCGCCTGATCTTGTGTCATCTCAGAAGCTAAGCAGGGTCGGGCCTGGTTAGTACTTGGATGGGAGAGTAAAGGTGGAGGAGGTGTGATTTACCGCTGCCCTGACCCGTATGCTCTTGTCCCGGCAGAGTGAAGACACTTCCACGTGGGCATCTGACCATGTGTCTGCCCTGAGCAGCGAGGCCCACCAGACATCTTTGTTGAGGACAGCAAGACCAGACAACTCCTCTGTGGCCCCTGGCACTTGGCAGGCCTCCCCGGCGGCGGGGTCTGGGCCTTGGCCCCACCATGTCAAGCCTTGGCAGTGGCCCCCAGGACGCCAGTGGCAGCAGCACCACGACCACCACCAATGGCAGTGGCAGCAGTAGCTCAAAGGCAGGAGCGGCTGACAAGAGCACAGCCGTGGCTGCTGCCGCACCAGCCTCGGTGGCTGATGACGCACCACCCCCTGAGCGTCGGAACAAGAGCGGCATCATCAGCGAACCTCTCAACAAGAGCCTGCGCCGTTCCCGCCCGCTCTCCCACTACTCTTCCTTTGGTGGCAGTGGTGGCAGCAGCGGTGGCAGCATGATGGGCGGAGAGTCCACTGACAAGGCTGCTGCAGCTGCTGCCTCCCTGTTAGCCAATGGGCATGACCTGGCGGCAGCCATGGCGGTGGACAAAAGCAACCCTACCTCAAAGCACAAAAGTGGTGCTGTGGCTAGCCTGCTGAGCAAGGCCGAGCGGGCCACGGAGCTGGCAGCCGAGGGACAGCTGACGCTGCAGCAGTTTGCGCAGTCCACGGAGATGTTGAAGCGCGTGGTGCAGGAGCACCTCCCACTGATGAGCGAGGCCGGTGCGGGCCTGCCTGACATGGAGGCCGTGGCAGGCGCCGAAGCTCTCAATGGCCAGTCCGACTTCCCCTACCTGGGCGCCTTCCCCATCAACCCAGGCCTCTTCATCATGACCCCTGCGGGCGTGTTCCTGGCTGAGAGTGCGCTGCACATGGCCGGCCTTGCTGAGTACCCCATGCAGGGAGAGCTGGCCTCCGCCATTAGCTCGGGCAAGAAGAAGCGGAAACGCTGCGGCATGTGTGCGCCCTGCCGGCGGCGCATCAACTGCGAGCAGTGCAGCAGTTGTAGGAACCGAAAGACTGGTCATCAGATTTGCAAATTCAGAAAATGTGAGGAACTCAAAAAGAAGCCTTCCGCTGCTCTGGAGGTAACAGCGCCTTAGAGGGAGGTGTGTGGGCTCTTGTATTTGTGTGGTTGTCTGAACCCACCCTTACCCCTGTCCCTACCTTTTCCGTTTGGGCAAATGTCAAAGGGGTACCCAGCCAGTCCCTGGAATTTGGGCATCTGGGCCAGTCACCATGACACCAATTCACTGCCCCAAATGTCAGAGCTGCATCCTGAAATCTTTTTAGACTGTAATTTGCAATAAAAGCATAAATTTCCAGGCAGGGAGCTAGCATTTTCAGATGAGCCCCCCAGGGTTCTGATCCTCTCCTGGAATTTTGGACCTAGTATTGAGATTTCATATAGATCCTCAGTTTCTGATTCTCAGACAAATAGTTCCTGTAGCTTCCAGTCCCTGACCTAAGATAAGATTCTAGAACTTTGCCTTGCTCCATTTACAGGATTCAGCTTTATGCTCCCATGGCTTGTAGAATAGCCTTCACTTGACCCTCCAGAGCCAGTGAGGCCCTCCATCCTGATAAAGCATGTCAGATATTGGCTGCCATGCTCTGAGACTCAGAAGAACCTTGGTACCTTCACCTTGGTACCTTCAAGGGAGCCCAGGGTCCATTCTTGACTACACACGCAGCAGCCGAAGGTCCTGGTGGGGGATAGCTATGTTCCTGGGGTCCAGGCAAGGCCTGTCCACAGTGGGGTTGGCTTAGAGAAGCTGGGGAGTTACCAAGCTGCTTTTACTCCATCCTTTAGGCAGGGCCTGTCCTGTCCCTGTGGTCCTAGCCGAGGCAACCTAGCTAGAGTGCCAAGCCCGAGTACAAAAACATCTTTTCAGCCTGTTGTCCCAGCCCCTCCCACCACCCCACTATGAGTAGGTTTGACATAAATGTTTAGAATGGTTGGAAAACAACAATGGTATTCCAGCCATGGCCGCTTGGCCACCTCCCTGCCCCCGTGAAATGTCTGCTCTCACTCGGAGAACACACCTGTATGCAGACAGGCACCAACTTCCATCTGTGTAGAGAGAGACACACACACACACACACACATCTAGGACACTAATTATAGATACAGCCTTTGGTAAACACTCCATACATCCCCCTACACACACATGTGCACACAGAACTCGGTACACAATACTCTTTGTAGCAGCTCAGTACACAATACACTCTGTAGTGTAGCATTGAGCATACACCCATATACACATCCAGTGCAGACATTTACAGTTCTGTTGGACAGAGATGCCTCATAACCCCCAGATGCACCACAGCCACCTGGTGCTTCCTGTCCGGATCAAGGGTTCCTGGGCACAGTGACTCGAGGCCTCAGGGTGCTCATGGCCCTCCGGCAGCCTTCGGTCAAGACTCCTCCTGGCTTGGCTGGGATGGGCAGGACGTCCGAGGGGCGGCTGCTCTCTGTGCCTGCCTTCCACCACAAGGCCATCCACAGGGGACGTCTGTGCACCGGGCCCACCTGGACCCTGACTGAACTCTCTCCTTGTTTTTGTCTCCTGCCCTCGCCAGAAGGTGATGCTTCCGACGGGAGCCGCCTTCCGGTGGTTTCAGTGACGGCGGCTGGACCCCAAAGCTGCCCTCTCCGTGCAATGTCACTGCTCGCGTGGTCTCCGGCAAGGGATTCGGGCGAAGACAAACGGATGCACCCGTCTTTAGAACCAAAAATATTCTCTCACAGATTTCATTCCTGTTTTTATATATATATTTTTTGTTGTCGTTTTAACATCTCCACGTCCCTAGTATATTAAAAAAAAAAAAAAAAGGAAAAAATATAACTGCTCTTTCAGAAGAACAGCAGCAGCAGCAACAACAAAATAGAGGTAAAGACGAATCTATAAAGTACCGAGACTTCTGAGCAAAGAATGGACAATCAGTTTCCTTCCTGTGTCAATGTCAATGTTGTCTGTGCAGGAGATGCAGTTTTTGTGTAGAGAATGTAAATTTTCTGTAACCTTTTGAAATCTAGTTACTAATAAGCACTACTGTAATTTAGCACAGTTTAACTCCACCCTCATTTAAACTTCCTTTGATTCTTTCTGACCATGAAATAGTGCATAGTTTGCCTGGAGAATCCACTCACGTTTATAAGGAGAATGTTGATGGCGCTGTGTAGAAGCCCCTTTGTACCCATTCACACCGGCAGAGCTGTGGGCAGGGGCTTCTCGGGTGGGTGGAAACACCCCACCTCTGGGCCCACCATGCGGAACCCACAGTCCCCGAATGGGATCTCCCACCCCAACAGGGAGAATTTTGGAAAAATGAAAGTTCTGTTCATTTATCCATTGTGATCTGGGAAGCCCATGTCTATTCCTGCTCCTGGCTACTTCCCTTAGAGAAAATAAGTCCTTTTTTCTGGCCTTGCTGATGGTGACAGAAGAAAGGCTTCTTCACGTGGCACCCCCACCGGTGGGGGTGGGTACCAGGGGGGCCCCCTGTGGCCTGGGCCCCCTGCCCTTGGCCGGCTTCCTGCTGATGAACATGCTGTTTGTATTGTTTTAGGAAACCAGGCTGTTTTGTGAATAAAACGAATGCATGTTTGTGTCACGAAGCCCCACTAGCTTCTTACTCTTTGGTTTTGGGAGGACTGGTGAAGGGCCCCTTTGTGGGGTTTATGTGGACCACCTTGGGGAGGAAGGAGGTTGACCCAAGTGGAATCCTGAGAAGACACTAGATGAGGAGCAGGCCAATCTGGCAGACACAGTGGGGATGCTCTTAAACTGCAAGTGGCCGGTGCTGGAGACCTCATCTGCCTGACATAGCATGCCTCATACCTGAATGTGGAGCCCTTGTTCACCTGGAGACCCCACGTTTGGTCACCTCAGTTCCCCAAGTCGTGACCAAGTATTGGGTTGAGCCAAAGCTGCTACGTGTTAAATTTCTCTCACATCACAAGGAAGGGATCTAGTATCTACCCCCAACCACTGAAGAGATTCCCCAGAAAAAGTGTCAGTCCAGGATTGTGGGGGCCTGGCTGTACCCAGCACACACTGACACCTCACCCAACACGCACACACATACCCTTCTTCAGGCTTGGGATAGTGTCAGGTGTACTGACTTTGGTCCTCTTTAACTGTCCCCTTCCCAGAAGGTTTGTTGTCACAAGGTTGTCTGGAACCTCAGTGACCAAATGGCAGATCACCACATAACCACACAGTCTGGCTCTGGGCAGTCTGAACAGGAAAACGAAGTGGTTGTAACCCCCCAATCCCTACACGTACACAGCCAGCTTGAAGGGTGAGGCCTGGCCAGATCCACTTGACTTGGGGAGCCTTCTCCCCACAAAGCTGCTTTGAGCCTGGCTGAAATAGTGGCTAAACTTGAAGAAGGACATCCTGATAATATTGGGGCCTGTCTTCAGGTAGGTGATGATGGCTTTCAGGAAAGGGATGGGGCAACTTGAGGAATGAAGTTGGGGTGAGGTGGGATTGCTGGAGAGTCTCTGCTATTGTTAGAGGAGGAGAAAGTAGCCACATGGAGGTGGGGGTTCTGACCACCAAGCTCTTCCCAGGTGTCACAAGCCCCCTTCAAGCTCCTGGGGCTCTGCAGCCAGGCCTGGCACAGCAGGGGCAGGCGGGGTGTGGGAGGCAGCTTTCAACTCCATCTCTGCCTGGGAAAAATTCCCTTTCATGTGGCTGCCTGTGATCTCTCCAGGCGGCTCTGCTGAGGGGGGCTGTCCAGCGGGGGGTAGAAGGGAGGTGTTGCAGCCAGGGGCACCCTCACCCCCAGCGCAAGGCAAACTGCAATACCTCTGGAGCCACAAGGAAGCAAGACCGGGCCTGGGGCTGGCCAGTAGGGGGCGTCCAGGCGGAAGGCCCCTGCTTGTCTGCCCCGCTGCTGGCAGCTCTTGGGCTGCAGATGGCCTTAGCCGGCCCTCATTGGCACACCTACAGGTGTGGAGTGGACGACTTTGTTGCCAACCCTAGGAGGGGAGTTGCCATAACTCAGCCGGCCTGTACTACTTAGTGTGCCAACCCAAAGACTAGCTGAGGTTCCTGAACCTATCCCCCAACACAGATGCTCGAAGCTTCCCCTGCCTGGGGAAGGCCTGCACAGGAGTAGGGATAACAGCCTGGATACGTGATAGCCTCAGTTGCCTCATCTGAGAAACCGGGACAATAACAGTCCTCACTGTAAAGTCACAGGATAAAATGAGATCATGCTAGAGAAAGGCCAATCTTATAGTAAATCTTCAACCAGTGGCAGCCTGTGTTACTATTTAAAAGTTACTCACCTGACTCATTAAGATACCCTCCATCTCCTACCTGGGGTAGCTGTGCAGCCTCCCCACAACCTGAGCTGCCCCTCCTCCCCACCCGCCCCAGGCCCCAGCTTTGGCCCCAGCTTGTCTGCTGTCTGTTTCTGGTTTGATGTCCAGAGCTGTTTCTGCTCTGTTTATCTGGCTTGATGGTCTCTGTTGGTCTTTTTCTCCCATGTCTCTCTCTTCATCTTTCAGAGTCTCTGGATCTTTTTCTGTCTCTTGTGTTTCTGCATCTCTTATCTGTATTTTGCGCCTCGGTCTTTCTTTTTGTTCACTCTGTTACTGCCTTGCCTTACAGAAGGAGCAGGCTCCCTGGTGGGGTTTTGTGCCCAATTTCATGGGCACATTTAGCTCCCCTTTGACCTCCAGGTGGATCAGGCAGCCTGACAGCTCCCCCCAATGTGGGTGATCTAGTAATTGGGGCTGGCTCTCAGGGACACAGGTAAGGGCTAGTTAAAAAGGCTGGGGACAAACCCAGCCTTCAGGTTGCCCCTGTACACTCATAGGCCAGGACATGCATGTATGTATTTGTGTGCATAAGAGACAGCACTCACATGATAAGGGGATAGGCTGGTGACCACCTGAGGCCCTGTGCAGCCGTGTGGCTATGTATGGTACGGAGTGACACGAGAATGGCTCGGTGACAGTGTGAGAGACTGATGTGAAACCTTGTGTGGTCATGGTCTAGTGTGTGACGTCAGTGGCCATATTTAGGGTTGTCTGTGGCATTGCCTATATGATCCCATAGCATCACACAGTCCTCTAACAGACTCTGGGATATAGGATTGTGCAACTTAAGTGAATGACATTGAGTATGCACCCCTAACACTGTATGGTGCTTTATGGTCCTGCGGCAATGTTATGTGGGGCATTGTGTGGCCATCATGACTAACCTTGGAATGGCATTAGTTCATGATGTGTGAGTGTGGTGCTAGTTGTTGACCATGGTGTGGCCCTGTGATGCTTCCCGTGTTGCTGGGCTGTGTAGTCATGACATTGTGTGGTATTGTGCACCTGCAGCCCTCATTGATGCTGACACTGTGAGCCATGTGTCTTTGCCTTCAGCACTTTCTGGGTCTCTGCCCTAACAATCCTGCTACAGGGGGGTGGGTGGCAGGAGGGCTGGCAGCCCATCTTACCCCCAGCCTGCCCCCTCTCCTGGCCCAGAGGCCCAATCTGGACGGGGGAGCTGGCGTGAGGGCAGCAGGCTCAGTTCCCACGGCCAACGCAGCCCCTCTCCCAGCCCCACCGCCACCGGCTTCAGCGCCACAGAATATCCTGGCAACCCCAGTGTCTTTGTTCTCTGCGGCCGCCAAAGGCCTCTCCCCACTGGAGCCTGCCCAGTGCCTGCCAGGCACACACCCTCCCCCCTCCCC